CGCACCCCTTCCCTCACCCCCCTCAGGCAGACGCCGAGAAGGTGGAGGCGGGTGGGAAGGATGCTAAAACGAGACGTGTTCAGTCACAGAGGCCTTTCTAAAAAGGGATGTCCACGCCAGTTTCGGAGAAACGTCGTTTCTGCGAGGTCTGTGCAGCACGGTGTCAGGAACCTTCCTCAGGATACATGACGGCAATGACTTTTAAACGCAGGGCCTACTCCTCCCAATCCAGGGCAAACACGTCGCACGTCGCACCTACGCTCTCCTTCTCACGCTGCAGCAGGTGGCTGGACTAGGACGGAAGCCGTTTCCCAAACCTCGGTCACTAAGCAAAAGTGTTGCTGTAACTGCTGCAAACTGCGCTCAGGGACGTTCAATATTCATTTCTTGACCTGATTCCTCAAACACCTCTTCCTCACTGAGCTCGCAGACAGCCCAGACACAACTGCCACCTGGAGAACACTTGCGCTGACGCAGAACAAGCAACAGTCACTCCCAACCCAAGGTTTCATTCTGAGAAGCTCAATGCACGGGCGATGCCCAGGACAGCTGTCAGCAGCTCAGGGCACGGCCTGGCCTGCGGCCATTCCCGTGAGAGACCAGCCCTCAGCAGAAACAGCACTAATGAAACAGGACCCCGAGAGGAGAGTGCTCCCGAACAGTCAGCTCCCGAAACTGTTAGCACGTTTTAGAAAGTGAGCCAGCTTCTCCCCCAGCCCGCACCGCTCCCCGCCTCCCTCTGCCGCCGTTCCTGTGGCTTCAGCGGAAGGTCTGTCCCCATGCATTTCCTAAAGTCTCACATACACGAACACATGGTGTGCACGCATCCAACCATGAGAAACGAGTTCTGGTAATGGTTTCCAAGCCCACCTTCAGCTTTTCACACTAAGTCACAATTACATAATGACCTTCCAGGACGAAGGGAGAAAACGGCAGACGCTGACTGTAGACGTCCAGACCAATGTTCTATTTTGTGATAAATATTAAAACCTTACCTTATAACCAGGAAACAGTTAGATCTGTTACCGACAGCGAAATAGTCAGCAGTGGTCAAAATATCAATTCCATGAGGGAAGGTGCCCTGGGGAAAAGGAAGAGCAGGAAAAACGGTGAACCATGTGCACGAGTGAAGGCACCTACACCAGCTCAGCACTGCATCCCATACATTTACATCCATGGACGAGGCGGCCAGACAGCCTGACAGCGAGGCTGCGGGCGCCTGAAACTGCTCGTCCACAGGCTTCCCGTCAAGTCCAGTTACTGAGCATCTATCCCAGGCCAGACATGGCGCTAAACTATTTACATCTCTTAAAAATATTTATTTTATTTCAAATGACTCATGCATTTCAACTTTAAATTGTTGTAGACCTTCCTGTAACCACACACCATGAAAAGACATCCAGTTTCAGCAGTGTTAACCCTACTGATTCACTGGACCTGTCCAGGCAGGGGGACCCCAGCCAGCGCTCCCCGGAGGGGCCCTGAGAACCCTGGACAGGAGCCACACCACAGCCTGTGAGAGAGAATGAGAGACACGGCTGACAGCTGACACCCAGAAGCAGACTCTGAAAGGGGGAGACGGGCACCTCACCCATGAGGCTTGCCCAGCCCAGCCCCCAAGTCAGCGTGTTATTACTGAGAACACTCTCTGGTAACAGTATCTAAAAATCTGAAAACAAAACCGTCTTCTAAAAGACTTACATACTTGACAAACTTTCAACCACTGAGTGAAAGCCTTCTGGCGTGGACCACAGGAGGAAGGGGAGAGGCCCAGCCCTGCCCCGCTCCCAGGGGTCCCTCCTCCCCCCGGGGCTGGCACGGCAAAGCGGGCAGGAGTCTGATGAGCAAGGCACAGAAAACAGCAAGCACCCAACCCTGCATCTGTGTCCCCGTGGGCACAGCACCCCCAAGGCGACAGGTCGGCGCAGGGACGAGATGAGCAGCGAGGCTGCACCGTCCCTGAGGATGACCGTGCTCGGACGCCAGCTCCCGGTCGGTGACACAGGAGGAACTAAGCGTGGGGCTGGATTCCATGTGACAAGGAACTCGGGTCCCGTTACTGTTTGGAAACTCACTAACGGGATGTTTGATTCACAGGCAACACGTGAAGGCCTATTTGCCTCATGACCCAGCTACACGCAGAGCAGGAGACACCCGCCACCTGAGGGCAGCAGGACACCTGGCCTACCTGCACTGTCCTACCCTCTCCGGTTCACACACGGGCCCAGGGACGGTTGGAAAAAAGGCCACCGTGGCTCCCGAGGTGGGGCCTCCCCTGCAGGCAGCACTCAGACCTCTCCCAGTGCCTCTGTACTTTCATCCATCCTGGCCCCAGACCATCCAGTCCCACTTCTGTGCAGCAACACTGGCAAAAACATCCCCGTCCAAACCGCTCTGGGCAGCCCAGGAGGCACCTCCCCCTGCATGGGACGCAGGCCTGGGGTCAGGACAGCAAGTCTGTCTGCCACAAGGTCCCTGACAAGCAGGCCTGGTGGGCAATGCTCAGGTATTGCCTCTTCCTCCTTAGAGTTCAGGCACCACCTTGGAATTTTGTTTTGTCCACAGCGTCCCTCTCAGGTGCTGCCTCTCCCTCCTGAGCCTTCTGCACGGGGTTCCCCCAGCTCCCGCAGCCCGACTTCTGCCCAAGTCCCAAAGGCCCACCACCACTTGTTCCCCAGTACCGCCTGCCATTCCTTCATAACACACGCACCGTCAGCCCAGACCTGCCTCCTGGCACGTTCGCCTCTCACCCCTTCCAACCAGAGCTCAGCTCAGGGTCTCCCACACATCGCCTGCCTCTGGCCCATTCCCCACCAGGCCCACCACGCGGCCCAGCCTGTCACCGTCACCCTCAGCACAAATCGTTCAGGGACAAAGGCCACACCTCCCAGCCAGGGCTGACCAGTGAGGAGAGGCAGAGCTTGGGGGCACAATGATGCCAGCAAGCACCAAGAGGCGCCATGGGTCGATGCTTCCGGAAGCTGGCTCATGCCACACGCGGGACGGGCAGGGGTTGCATCGCTGTCCCGTGAGCCAGGCTCCTCTGCACACACCCCTGAGCACCATGGGCAATGGCAATATCGGGTGGCCCTCAGCAATGCATGAGGCACTGATTTCTGACGTGTGTATGTGTATAAAATTACTTCTACATTCACTGCTCATTGTTTAAAACTTGTGTCAACACTCACCTGTGTCACCTTACCAGTGAGTCTGTGACCAGAACCGTGTTAAGTATTAGTTTATTCTAGGCAAATGCGTTACCCAGGCCTAACAACGCAAGAGGATTGATTCTCCGTTTGCAATTTTTAGTATTTCTGCCTCTAAATCTACAGGAAGTTGTAAGAATGAAGACTGAAGAAGCAGCCATACCTGTCTTCCCACATTCTCCTGGAAAGCAGCCTAAGGAACAGAAGAACAAACAGCAGAGTGAATGAGCCTTGCACTTTGCTAACCATCAGGAGACAGACTCACAACAAATGACCCGTGGCTTTATTTCCCCGTAAGAGTCCTCATTGGTGGCTGATCAGAGCCTCTGGGACGGTCTGTCCTGCCTGTATATCCTGGTGCTCTTTAAAACCACAATTTAGCCCTAGCAGGTTGGGTTCAGTGGATAGAGCGTTGGCCTGCGGACTGAAGGGTCCCGGGTTCGATTCCGGTCAAGGGCACATGCCCGGGTTGTGGGCTGGATCACCAGTGGGGGGTGTGCAAGAGGCAGCCGATCAGTGATTCTCTCTCATCATTGATGTTTCTCTCTCTCTCTTTCTCCCTCTCTCTTCTTCTCTAAAATCAATTAAAAATATTTTAAAAACCCACACAATTTAATGTTTCAGGTTATAAAATCAGACACATCCTGAAAAGTGACCTCTGGTGGCTAATGCTGGGCCTGAACCAATGCCTTAGTGAAGGCCCCAGATGTAAAAAATGGGGATAGAGACAAAGCAATTGGTTAAACAAGAGCCACATCCAGGGTGGGAAGGGTCAGAGCCTTCCGCTGTGCCCACCACCTCTCGGTGCAGAGGGGAAGAGACCCCAGGAACCAGTGACCTCAAGAACCACCGCCCGGGAGCAGGGAGACCATCACACACAGAGCACGATGTGAGCACACACAGGCGCCAACACGGCCGATGCATCCGTGTCTGGGGAAGCAGCTTCGTGGAAAGAAATTTTATTCCCAGGAATCAGGTCTCGACCCCATGTTTTCAACTGAGCTTCACACAGAGCTTGTGACTCTCGCTGCTTCAGCTCTGCATCTGCTGGGTACACAGGGTACACGCCCATGTTCGTGCAAGACTTTCCTGGTAATTTGTTAAATTATGACTTTAACTTGAAATCATGGTTTCTATGGTTTTATTCCATCTCTTCTCCAAGGTTCACAAAGATACCAGTGCCCTGACTGCCTCTTGGCCCACCCTCCCCTCCCGCGGGTCTCCTGGTCTGACAGCCACACCGGCCGGGCCCCCAGCCCTGACTGCAGAGACGGGAACCGTGAGCGTGGCTGCCCATGCCAGCCTCACACAGCAGCACCAGCGGGAGCCCCGCGCCGCAGGGAAAGGAACGAGACGGGGAACTTACCGAGGCGGCCCTCCTGCAGTTCACGTTCCGGTCGAACACCGTGGCAATGACCAGCGCGCTGTGGGAAAGGGGTAAACGGCTGATTAAAAGGAAACCTGCGGAGACTCAGATCCCATGACACTAACGGGGAACCTGGCCTTTCATTCGCTTGTCCGTGACTCAGGCTCAACACAGCTGCCGCCACATGTGGGCCGAGGGTGGCTGACCCTGATTCGAATGAGAGCACCTGAGCACAAGCAAAGCCCCCGGGAGCAGGCCGGCGCACAGGCCTGGGGGCAGCCAAGGGAAGCAGGGCTCCCAGAAGAGGAGTGGGGGGAGGGGGAGGCGGGCATGGCCACGGTGACACACAGAGAAAAGAAGCCTGCAGGAGCGCCGACCCATCCCCTCCTAGAAACAGCCGGACCAAGGGCAGAGATAGCTGTTAGGTGTCACACAAGTCCTACAGACGGCATGTCCGCCCGAGCCACACCAGGCTCCTAAGGCAGAAACCTTTCCAGCTCAGTGGGGCTTCATTTAAACTCCCCTCCTTAGGCCATCGCACGTCATTGTTATGGACTAACCAGGACTCAACCTGACTGTAGCAACGACAGAGAACAACTGATTTAGGGCTGTTTCCAAGCATGACTTGAAAATTTCAGGTGATAGAACTGCCCTGTTAGCCCTGTGGTTTGGAACCCTAGGAACTGTACGTGACAAGAGTGACTTATCCCAGTGAGGCCGGGAGGGCCCTGTGGACTGGAAAGGCCAAGGAACGCAGTGCCCAAGACCCTCCCTCGGTGCTGGCGGCATCTCCCCGGGTGTGGTTAGCCACTGTGAAGCTACTGCACATGGAACTGCAGGCGCAGGAAACACCGCAGAGAACAAGGCCACGTGGAGTGGGCGGGTGGGACGTGAGGCATGCACGCGAACCCACGGCCTTCGAGGGTCCACTCCTGGATGCAGATTCAAAAGGCGACTCTCCACTAGAGAAACGCAGACTCTGGGACGTGGCTGGTTCCCGGGACGGGGCAAAGAAAAAAAGATAAGCCTGGAGCATCGGTCGGGCTAGGACTAGGAAAATATTCTAAAAAATAAAAGTACAGGTGCTGGTGAGAGGACACAGCCAGCACCTGAGGCAGGTTCCAGCGGCCAGGGGTAGAGCCACTGAGCGACACGAGGAGCAGCAGCACTGAATGAAAATCCCAGGATCCAAGAAGCGCCCGTGCCCACAGGACACAGCGAGCCCCAAGTGGAAAAAGGGAAGAGACGCGCCGTGACCGCGGCGGCACCTGGCCCAGCAAGACCACCAATGGGCATGAAAATGGGTGAGGTTTATGGAGAAAGGGCACAGTCATTAGTCTTAAAACATGTGTTACTTATAAAGGAAACAATACAGTAACTCTGCAGACCCACCTCAACAGGGATCAAGGCCAGCATCCCCCACGTCATTCTGGGACGTGCCCCAAATGTGGCCGAGCAGGCACACCACCAAGTCCTGGCCGCAGTCTGGCCAACAGTGACACGGGGCTCTGTCCTCGGTTTTGCTGCATGAGGGATTACCATCAGGGAAGCTGGCAAAGGGCTCATGGACTAATGTAACAATACCACTTTAAAAACACAGCTTTTGCCTGCCTGGTGTGGCCAAGAGGTCCTGGGTTCAATTCCCAGTCAGGGCACGTGCCTGGGTTACAGGCTTGATCCCCAATGGGGGCTGTGCAGGAGGCAGCCAATCGAGGCTTCTCTCTCATCGATGCTTCTATCTCCCTCTCTAAACATCAATAAAAACACATTAAAAAAAAAACAACACAGCTTTTAACCACTATAGACTCTTGTTAATTCAACCAATCAACTGTGTATATACCCATGAATGTAACTGGTTTTTAATACTGTTTTGATTTGTACTAAATTTAGAAAACTACTCTAATTTTACTTTGAGAGCAAAACTGGCTTACCTAGAAATACTGGTAAGTTTCAAATAAGAACAGGTATGATCATCTTGGTTAAGTGAGTATGAGCGTGCTCGTTCCCTGTCCAGTGTGCGCCTCTCCAGTTCCCCTCAGCAAGGGGGCCTCACGTTTCCGAGGGGAGGGCACGTGGAGAGCGACCCTGGGAGCCGCGCACACGTGTCTGCAGGGCTGGGCTGCCAGGGCCGAACGCCTCTCAGGCGTCTTCGCCAGTTTGCTTTTGCTGCAGGGGTTCAGGCGATACTTCCCCAGGATTTCCCAACAAGAGAAATGGTCTGTGTCAAACAGAAAGGGACTTTCTTTCTTGTCCGAGTCGGGGGAAGCTGCACGCCTCGACCTGCCCGCGTCCCAGGCACCTGGCTTTGATGAGCAGGTACAGCAAGGCGCCTATCTCGCCCCAAAGTCAATCTTCGTTAGTTTATGTAATGTTTTATAGAAATAAAAAGGAAAATACACTGTTGTTATCTTAAGTAATAGTAATCCATTAATTTCAAACTTTAAAAAAAATTAAATATCAAGCCAGCAATTATCTATCCACGTTGTTTGAAAGTTGCAAATCAAGTTAAAATGCCAAACCAGCCTATGGCCGAGTCAGTCTAAAAAAAGTAAAGCTCCCAGCACCAGACCTTCCAGGCGTTGCTGTAGTCACAGCAGAGCCACAATGAAGGCCAAGGGCGCTGACCAGGTGAGGGGCACTCTGACCTGTAATCAGCACTGAACTTTTCTTGAAAAACAAAAGGGTTATCTCCTTCAGGAAGCGGGCCAGGGCCCTGGAGAAGGTCGCAGTGAGAACAAGACATAGCTCTGAGCCACGCATGCCATTTCCTGATGTTTCAGGACAAGCTTGCCCTCGAGGAAGAGATCTGGGAGCCAATCTCCAGGCGCTGCTGCCCGGCTGCTCCTGGGAGCAGAGCTCTGCCCAGGACGGGGAGGGGCCTGCAGGCTGATGTCAACGGCTCAGTTTACAACAGAGTTTCAGGTGAGGAAATCGCTGGAAGGTGACAACCTGCCTGCTGGCAGGCAGCAGCTCATTTTTCTTTTTCTTCTTGCCAATTAGCTTCTGGATTGCTGGTGAGGAGGTATTTTCTAGATAAAGCACAACCATTCTGTACCATTTTGACTTTACGGGTTTCATTGTTCCTAAATCACTAACATAGCAGAGGCTTTCTTCAGGAAACCCTATTTACTTTTCCACACACACAAAATTGTTCATCTCTTCACCTGTCTGTGTATAAGTTTAGGAAATACAGATTTTCAGCAGCAGCCCAAACTAATTCAAAACAATTAAATTTGCTTGAAAACTTTCTTTGTGACATTATAAAACAGCAAGCTCCTTAGAAAGTGGGCAGCTGAGCCCTGCACTTGCCCCGACCTTCCAGGGGTGTAAGGAGGTGGCCAGGCCTCTGACCTCTTACCGCATGGGCACCTTTCACACTAGTCAGTCTGACCTCTGACCTCTCACCACATGGCCTTTCGGTCCAGTCAGTCTGACCTCTGACCTCTCACCACGTCCAGTCCTGCTGCCTCGTTGTTACTGCTGCCCCCTGATTCCTTTAATCAGACATTCCTACTTCACTTACAGAATTACATTTTGATCTCCACTGTCAACTTTTGCAGGAAGAGTTTGTGAAAGTATAGTTAAAGATATCAACATTTTATCAGTGCCAGGACTAATGGGCTTAAAAGCTGACAATTAAAATGTGGCCACTTATTACACAGCAAAGGAGGCAGATCTCGAAAGACACACCCCAACCGATACTCCTGGGCAGGCAGGGAGGTGCGGGCAGCAGCATCCTCCCGGCTCACCTGGCACAGTGACTCACCTCAGCCCGCCCTCCGCACCCGCCCCACGCCTGCCGTCTAGATGGACCAGGAAGAGCTGGAGCACAAGCTCGCTCAGAACCTGCCCAACTGGCCCGAAAGCCCGACGGGCGCGGCTCCCAGGGGCACATTCACTGATCTGACCCTGGGATGGCACAGGGACAGGGGACGAGGGGCCTTGTCAGGCAGAAACTCCATGTGCCTGCTGGCGCCTGTGGGAATTAGGAGAAATGAGAAAGGCTGAGCAGGAGTCGGGGTGTCCCTGCCAGCAGGTGCTCCCGGTGTGACGCTGTGCACACTCATTACTGGCGCCTGGGGCATGCCCAGAAAGTCGAGGAAAGTAACCTCCCCTGAGATCAAAGTGCTCAAGTGCAGCCAGAGGAGTTTCTGCAGAGGACGCTGGCCACCAGCTCAGCAAATGTCTCTGGTCTCATGTGGAGTGAGGTGCTTAAATGAGTCCAAGCTCAGAACGGTGAGTGTTCTGAACACCCACATCCACACCCTCCCATCTCAGTCCAGACACAGCGGGGGGTGGAGGAGGTTCTATGGGGTTCATTTGGAGGACCCTCGGGACCCCCAGAGGACAGGGCTGGCTCCACCCTCTTAACTACAGCAGGTCTGCAAAGTCACTTTCACTCTGACATGAGCAGACCACGCTGACCGCCCACCTGCCCACACGGACCAGTCACGGGCTCTTCAGTCCATTCCCACCATGTGCCACGCCCAGGAAGCTAAGCACCTGGCAGCTCAGTGGGCCCCAAATCTGTCTTTCCTTTTCTGGAGAACAGAGGGTGGCCCTGGAGTACACAGTGCCAGCGCCTCAGCCTCCATGACACTCGGGTCCCTGTGCGGTGACACATGCTCCACTTCAGACCCTGTGGCTCGGCTGTGGCCCCCTCAGGCTGCTGTGCAGGCCTCGCCCAGGCATGGGTCCAAGGTCGTGGGGCATGGATCCGCCCACGCTGAATCCAGAGAACTGAGCTAGCAACACTGACTCTCACGCCCATGTCATGCTCAGGCCAGGCTTAGCACAGCAACTCTTCAAACTGATTTTCACTGTACAAAGTCGCTGCTCAGATTAGTGTGGGGACTAGTTTCAAAGTCTCAGAAAGCAGAAACCACTTGCTTGTGGCTAAAAGAGCCTCTGTTCCAAAGGCCAGGGACCGAGCAAGAAGAGGACCTGTCTGTCCCACAGGCACCGTGGGGACGGGAGGGCGCGACATTCGCCAGTGTCACTGCTCTGCGTCGTGACTGACACTCGTCCCTGCAGTGCGGTGGGTAAGCAGCTTTCACCCCAAGTAGAGAAGCGGGTACCTGACGGCCGCCCGCCCCGTGCCCAGCCCTCCCCCCCGTCCCCGCAGAGTGCAGCCTCACCGCATTCCACTTTCCTCGGCCAACCCTCAGCCTTCAGCCCTGATCAGCCAGAGGGTCTCAGGAGAACGATTCCTGCAAGCTGACCACTCGGACAAATGTCCAACTGAAAAGAAGTGCTGGGACTATTCGCACTTTGAAATGGGAATGACCTCAGGAGCCAGGTCCCTTTCAGTGGTGTGTCCGTGCCTCACTCAGCACCTGCCAGCTGCCCCCTCTGGGCAGGTGTCCTCGGTGCGGTGGGCACGACCACAGTGCCTACCTGCCCACAGCACTGGACACCGAGGGCACCGTGCCAACCTGGAGGAGCCTGGCTGTCCTGCCGGCTGAAGAAAGCCTTCACTTGTGTTGCTTTCATTTCCTAGTTTCTGAAGTCACTTCCAAAAAGTGAGCAGCAGGACCCGGAGCAGCAGAAAGTGACTTCCATGCAGCATGTTCACAACAGCACAGTCCTGTTCACAGAGCAGTCGGATCACAGAGCTGCTGGCCAAGGAGCAGCCTCTGCCCTCAGGGACGAGTGAGGGACGAGGGGCAGGCAGCCTGGCCTCTGCCACGCTGGGCCTCCCTGGCTGCAGGCCAGTGGTCACCAGGACCAAGGCTTCCTAAGACCACTGCGCTGTCACTCTGCCCTTCCCTCAAGGGAGGATGAGAGGAGGAATCAGACATCTTTACAACTTCCTGGAAGTTCCTTCAACTTTATCAGAATCCCCAGGCTGTTCTGCAGGCTTTGCTTTGATAGGAGCCAAGATCAAGAGATTCAGGCCAGAGGCACTTCCTGGGCAGTAAACAGGCCTGTGGTCCCTCCCCTGACCCCAGAAAAGGTGAGAGCAGGAGGAGGCTCTGAGCCACGCGAGGAGCTGAGGGGCCGCAGACCCTGGGCTCTTCCGCAGCTGCTGCCGACCAGGTGGCACCGCCCTTCACCAGAGCACCTGGCTGGAGGGGCGAGGAGCAGGGTTCCCAGGGCGGTCAGGCCCCCGGGATCTCACACTCTCTCTGGGCCTCATGCACAGATCTGGGGGGGGGGGGGGGGGGATCTCCTAAGAACTGTGGGAGGATCATCCTGAAACCCGTTTCCTAGTCCAAGTCATCAGCTGAGTGTCACACACCATGACTAACGCCGAGGCTGCCACCATCTGGGCCCCTCCTCTGGCCACTTCATACACAACAACAAAAAAGGCCGGACATACTCAAGCCCAAAAATACAGTAACAAAGCAGAGTACAAAAATTAACTAAAAATCTCACTATACTGGGGACACATTTGTTTTGCATTTTTCCCCAAACAAAAATATAGCAGATCTGAAAAGTGGGACATGACAGCAGGGGCACGCAGACGCCTTGGGGGCTCTGCTGGGGACACACACCAGGAACCCAAGGCCACGCTGCCACAGCATCTGATGGGGCCACCAGCCTGCTAGTTTCAGTTCTCCAAGAAACCAGAGGAAATACAGTTCCCTGCCTCCCAAAGCCACGCTGCTTGCGTTCGGAAGGTGTCGATGATGAAGATGCTAGTCAGCACTGTGGCCTGTGAACATGCAAGTGCTAGTCCACGAGAAGTAGGAGACCAGGCAGGCAAGCCCCGCCCTCCACAGCAGGGCTGCCAGCTGAAGGCTGCTCTCCCGGTTCCCGGTTCCGAGGAACTCCTTCCGCGGTGAAGGCCGACCGCTGACGTTCTCGCGGCAGAACACGCAAATGCTTAGACGCCCAACCCACCTGCTCAGTTTCCCGCCTGTTTCCTCCACACTCTCCCAGATGCCCAGTCCCTTCATGTAGGGACCTGCCAACCACAGGCCAGCCAAAGTCTCTAGAACATTCCTCCTCAACACACGGCCTGAGCTGCTCCTTTGTGACAGGTCATCCTTGAAGACTATTATCAGCTCATGAGCACCCTGTGGGAGCTGCGCCACCCTGGCCGCTCGAGCGCCACTGAGGGCGCGATCCGAGGGCGAGAGCAGCGACAGCTCTAACCGCCACGACTCTTAACAGGCTTTACCTTGAAATCTCGGCCACGAAGGGCTTCAGCTCCTGAGGCTCGTAGGCACGTGCGAAGGCCCAGCACACGTAGCAGGCAGCATCCCTGACGTTGTCACCCACACTGCAGGCACCCCGCTTCTCCTCGTAGGTCAGCGCCTTCAGGATCACAGGAACCACTGGGCAGAGAAGACAGGCTGAATGAGACCAGGGAGGCAGCACATGTGGTTTTAAGGAAATAGCGTCTATTGTGGTCACACGACTGTCGGCCCGGTCAAGGGCACATGCTCGGGTTGTGGGGTCCATCCCAGTGGGGGGCGTGCAGGAGGCAGCCGGAGCCTGGGAGACTCAAAGGGAGAACTGCCGAGGGGGAGGGAAGACGGGCCGGCAATTCACTGGGGACCCCAGCCTTGGAGTCTTGTCATGGAAACCATAAAAGACACGTGGTTTATAATTCTGGCCCGAAGCAGTTACCTAATGAGCAACCCTGGGGGTGAGGAGAACCCCATACACAGGCATGTTAACTCTGCTCAGAGGGAGTCCATCACTGGGGAGTCTCAGAATCCAGAACTAAAATAATTAGGTAAATCCACCCACTGTGACTTCCATGCTTCCAGGTTAACTTTACGGACAATCTACATACGTTTAATTGTCTGAAATATCTGATGTTTACGATAATTTGAAATACATAACAGATTATCCTGGTTCTATTATAAAATATCTAAATGAGTAATTTAACAGGTGATTTTTCATATAAAGATATGAATTTTAAGATGTGTGGTGAGGGTAATTAAATGTTTAATAGGGCTAAAATTTTTCAAGTATCTGGAAAGGTTTTGCTTATTAGACACATATAAATTACTTAAAAATAAAATATCACATTCATATATGAGGTTTTAAAAGTATAAAGAAATGTAATTAACTTTATAAATGAACCAAACAATTTTAAAGCCTTTTAAAATAATTATAATTTTTAAGTGTAATAGAAAAAGCTTACGTGAACATTGGAATTTAAAAGTCAAAGACAATTGCCGAAACCGGTTTGGCTCAGTGGATAGAGCGTTGGCCTGCGGACTGAAGGGTCCCAGGTTCAATTCCGGTCAAGGGCATGTACCTTGGTTGCAGGCATATCCCCAGTAGGAGATGCGCAGGAGGCAGCTGATCGATGTTTCTCTCTCATCGATGTTTCTAACTCTCTATCTCTCTCCCTTCCTCTCTGTGAAAAATCAATAAAATATATTTTAAAAAAAAATCAAAGACAATGTTAAATTTGTTAAAAGTTACACTACATGGAATTTTCTGAAAGACCACAGGAAAGTCCCAATTTACTGACCGAAAACAGACAAGGACGCTGCCACCGGGGGCAGAAGACTGAGAAGAGGAGATGTGGGTCCCAGAAGGTAGAGATCGTGTCTGGGGCCAACCTGCTTCTGGTCAACATCTGACCCCGTGGCGCCGAAGGACAGACCACGGAAGGAGAAGGACACGCCCACGCCCCCTCGGGATGTGAGCCACGGGAGGGTGCACACAGCACAGCACCCGTGTCTGCAGCGTCACACCCCCGGCCACAGTCGCCAGCAGGATGAGGGACTGCAGGCTTCCCACACGGGGGCCACCACAGAAGCCTGCCATGCAGCTCTCACACGTGACCTGTCGTGAGAGGGTGATGGTCCCAGCACAAGAGGCGAGCAAGACCGAGCACTGAACAAAGAAAACAAAGGTGCAGCTCAACAGCCAGTGGTGAGGTCAATGGGATCCTAAGGCAGCGCATCACCGCCAGCCCCCAAGATGCCGGTGCGCACACGTCCTTCAAAGCACCCTCGGCCGGCGCCCGCGAGCCTCTCGCCGTAGCAAGGCTCACATTGTGACTCCAGGCAGCCTGAGAAAGGCACCCCCAGTGTGAACTTAAGAAAACTAAAGTATCAACTATTCGTACGTGTACCTATCATCACAGAAATTGTCTTCCAGAAAAATGTATCTAAAAACAGTCTTAGGTAAAAAAAAAAAAAAAAAAAATCAATGGAGACAAGGCAGGACTATGAATATTATACACAAGTAACTCTTCTGCCTTTCTATATCCAAAGATATTTGCTTCTATTTAAATAGCAACAAAAAGTACCCTAACCGGTTTGGCTCAATGAATAGAACGTGGGCCTGCGGACTGAAGGGTCTCGGGTTCAATTCCGGTCAAGGGCATGTACCTTGGTTGTGGGCACATCCCCAGTAGGGAGTGTGCAGGAGGCAGCTGATCGATGTTTCTCTCTCATCGATGTTTCTGACTCTCTATCCCTCTCCCTTCCTCTCTGTAAAAAATCAATAAATAGCAACAATCAATAAATAAAAAGTGGATTTGATTCTGTATAGTTTATATACATGTGGCAATTATTTTTAATAAGATTGTAAAATATTCATTTAAATTTACTTTAAATTGAATTTTAAAAATGGTCTCCAAAATAAAAAGCTCAAAGACCTCACATCCTCAATTACACCCACCTCAGCAGAGGGAGGAACTCGGGCACCTGCAGCCAGAGGTCTGACGGGGGACAGGAGGCTGCAGGGCCTCCAGCCTTGGACGCCAAGGTCACCCAGCCTGGAGCTGGCCTTGCTGCACCTGCGTGTACTCAGGACCCCAAACATGGGCCCACGCTCTTACCAAGTTCGCATTTCCTCTACCCAACAACAGGACACCCCACTTGAGACGTGCTAAAGGCCCCTCAAATTCCACAACATCTGAAACTGAGGCTGTCGCCCCTCAACTCCCGCCTCAGCCAGAGGCCTCGCACAGCTCAGGATGCGCTCAACATGCCAAGGCCGCCCTCCTTGCTTCCCAGGTCCAGCCACGGCCTGCCCTGCCCACAGCAGCCGCTGAGGGCCCATCGCTCCTCCCCCAGCTGCTCCCACCGGCCCTGCCACTGTTGGACCAACAGGGCTCTCAGCCTGGGTCTGCCCAACGCTCCTTCACAGCAGAGCAGGCTGCACAGCCAGCTCCTGCATCTCCCCGGGAGTCCTCGCAGCACCCACACCAATTCCACGCTGGCCTCACATCTCTCTCTTGGCCACGACCAGGTGCGTGCTGCCTGCCACCCACACAGCACCCCAAGCCAGGCCCCCTCGCTGAGAGGAGCCGCCCAAGCTGACGAAGGCCTGCCTCCCCAGGCAGCACACGAGAAGCTGCGCTCTCCTGGCTGAAGGAACACCTATCGCTCCCTGGGACTGGCCATGTCCACCTTCTGAACATGAAGCTTACAATCCAGACTCCTGAAGACGAGGAAATGCCAAAGCGGGCAAGAGGCCACAGCCGCTGTAGATAAGTAGTTACATCTGGCCGGTGATTTTTAAACAACTGTCTCTATGTAAACTGGACCACATCTGTAATGCTTCAGCGTGGTCTTCGGTTGTTTTACTTGGAATGACTCCTAGATTTCTAGTGTTGCTCATAACTCACTTTCTGTGCTAATAGGATAGCCCTTCCATGGCCCGACGAGTGTCAAAACTAACAGGCTGTGGCACCTTTATGGGAAAAGCATAACATAAATGTGGTGTCGCTGCCACACCAGATTCCCTAAACTGTCACCTGAACACAGCCGCCGACAGCTCTGGGTAAGACCAGGCAGCGATTGCCTAGCCGGAGGGAAATCTGGATGCTGACTGCTGAGTCCCAATTTATCGGTCCACCAGACAAAATCAATTTCAAAACAGACAACTATGAATGACAGCAGTCAGTACCTCGATGTCCACTTTGTGCAGACATCCCACCCAACGACACACTTAGGGATGCTCGGGGCCACCGGGCAGAAGGCCACGTCCGTGTGGACAGAGCCCCACCCTCACCTGCTCACCACCCGAGGTCCCTGAGCGGCTGGGGGAGCCACTGCCATCACACCCCCAGAGTCTGACCCTATTTGGGAAGCCCAAGTGTCTGATCCCAAGTCAAAGTGAGATCCTTTCCTAAGTGAGGTTTTGGGGCTGGGAAGGTCTGTCAGCAACGAGGACAGGACACAGATCGCGGACTTGTGTTCCACTAATGGACCACTGCCTGGATGCAGACAGAGGCCTTCGTAAGGTTTGATTGGCATTTATTTTTGGGAAAACTGACAGCCTAGTAAGTCCAACCATAGGTCCATCTGGCCCACTTCTCGGTCTCAAGTTGTGGGAAAAGATCAGTTGTGAGGGCTAGGAACTGTACACCTGACATGAGCCAGACCAGTGGGGATGGGGGCTGTGCTTTCTGTGTAGCCAGGGAACCCCAACTTTGTCCCTGGCACCCAAACATGCCCCTGGATTGTGTCCTCGGGCAGCTGCCCAGCCCACTGACAATGTGAAGTTGCTGGACTTCTCTGTGTCCTCCCGCAGAACTGAGTCAGAGAAATAAAGACCCAAGCCTGCCTGGCCACAGGAGCCTCACTGCCAGCACCACCCACACACCTGGCAGAGCCCCGCCCGCCTGCATTCCATCCTCAGCACAGCCTTCATCATCTACCCAGTGGTCAGCAAACCGTGGCTCGCGAACCACATGCGGCTCTTTGGCCCCTTGAGTGTGACTCTTCCACAAAATACCACGTGCAGGTGCGCACGTACAGTGCGATTGAAACTTCGTGGCCCATGGGGAGAAGTCGGTTTTCGGCCTGGGCAAGTCTGTTTTGAAGAAGTGGCGTTAGAAGAAGTGGGGGGTGTCGGTCGGTCGGTCGGTCGGGAGACGGGAGATGCGGCGCAGGCGGGCCGAGGGATATGCAGCGCGGGGGAGGTACATTGTTTTGAGGTACGTTCGCTGAGGTCGACTCCTTCCAACTCTCCCATCCACACTCATCTATCTGAAACAAGTATACAAGACAAGTATGGATGGGAGAGTTGGAAGGGGTCGACTTCAGCGAACGTACCTCAATCAGATTGAGGACGTTTTTAGCAAAGGCCAGCTTAGGAGTACCCTCATTAATAACAACGTACCTACCTATATAGTTTAAGTTTAAAAAATTTGGCTCTCAAAAGAAATTTCAATCGTTGTACTGTTGATATTTGGCTCTGCTGACTAATGAGTTTGCCGACCACTGATCCATCCTGTCACCATCCTACTCAGAAACCTCTGATGGCCCCTCTGTAGCACCTGCAACATCGGTGACTGACACTCAAGTGCGGAGAAGAAGTGGCTACCAGCACTCCAGAGGCTGTGCGGCTGGACGGG